AAACAATTACTTTTCAATTCCATTTGTTTTGCTCTCTTCCAAATATTTGTCCTGTGCACAAAACCATTAGTAGAATTAGTTTGGCAAACTATGGTTATATAGTAGAATAAGATCAGCACAGAAAATAAAACTGTATTTTTAATAACTACATCATTCTTGTGTTTTTTCAAAACAAAAAAAAATCTGTTATTCAATATCTACAGAGTTTACCAAGATATTGGGACATTTTGCTTAAGCTCATTAGTTCACCACTGTTTTTTTCAAAAGTTTCAGAAGCTAGACACATTACATTACATCGAGTTTATATAGCGCCAAAGGGTTTGCTCAGCGCTGTACAATAGAGGGGGGGACAATACATAAAACAGTACAACAAATAACAAACAGCACACGAGGGGTTAGAGGGCCCTACTCTTTCGAGCTTACAATCTAGGAGGGAGGGGGTAGTGGTACAGGAGGAAGTGGCTGTGGGGAATGGAGTGGTGGGAGGATTGAAGGGGAATGGCTGTTAGGTGAGGGTGGGGTAGGCTTCCCTGAAGAGATGGGTTTTTGAGGGAGCGCCTGAAGGTGAGGAGGGAAGGTGACAGTCTGATGGATTGGGGCAGTGAGTTCCAGAGGATGGGGGAGGACCTGGAGAAGTCTTGCAGTTGTGCGTGGGAGGAGGAGACCAGGGAGCAAGATAGAAGGAGGTCCTGTGCGGAGCGAAGGGTATGGGTAGGGTGGTATTTGGGAATCAGGTTGGTGAGGTAGTTAGGGGCAGTGTTGTGAATGGCTTTGTAGGTCAGGGTTAGAAGTTTGAATTTGATGCGTTGGGCAACCGGGAGCCAGTGGAGGGATAGGCATTGGGGGGGTGGCAGAGGTGGAGCGGTTGGTGAGGTGGATGAGTCTAGCCGCTGAGTTCAGGATGGTCTGAAGCGGGGAGAGCCTGCGCTTGGGTAGGCCAGTGAGAAGGGAGTTGCAGTAGTCAAGGCGAGAGATGATGAGGGAGTGTACGAGTAGTTTAGTGGTGTCTGGGGTAAGGAAGGTACGTATCTTGGCAATGTTGCGGAGGTGGAGCCTGCATGTGTTTGTAAGTGATTTGACATGAGGTTGGAAGGAGAGGTTTGAGTCAAGAATGACGCCAAGGACTTTGGCTTGCGGGGGGGGGCTGATAGTGGTGTTGTTCGTAGTGATGGAAAGGAAAGACAGACATGTCAGCATCTAAATTGTATAATCCTTTTTATTTTTATTCAATGTTAATGCTTGATCTGTTGGATGTAGTAAGAGTCATACTTGCTTAGTAAGCTTAGTTTCAATACCAATAGCACATACAATTGCGGCGGTGCCTTCAACAGGGTCTACGATAACATCAACATCAGTTTCCATGTCAAAAGCAGCCACTAACCTCTTTTTAGAAATAAACCTTTTTAAAACATCTACTGCAACCCAGATACCAGCTCCAACTTCAGGTAAGCCATCTGAAGCATGAAATACATTTGCATTCAAATACAAAATGTCATGTATCATCTAAATATTTACCCTGTGTGCTGAGCCACTTGTAGAACTAGTCTGGCAAGCTGCAGATTCCCAATATACTGTATGAAAACCAATACAAAAATGAGATAGCATTTTTGGCTTAGTACACTGTTTTCATGTGTGCAAAATTTCTAAACTGAAATCAAAATTTGTAAATCAAAATCTATTTTTTTCTTATGCGATTCAATCAATAAATTAAACTTTGGTAATTTTGAAGCACAACACCCATTTAGGATTAGGAGTGCATTCTTGCTAGATTTGGGATCCTCAGCTTTTCCAAAATTCTGTGGAAAAGCTGAGTAATGTGACTTTTTCAAGGAGAACAGATGGAAAAAAGGGGAGCATGTGCTGGTGGTGCATTGCCCTGCATAGCAATGCAAAAGTTTGCTCTAATGTGTTATTTAAAGGAAAGGTGTATGTCCTATGCCAAGAAGCATCCCTGTACTGCTCACATTTACATCTTCATGTGTTGTCCATGGGAGGAGAGGAGAAGTCTATGATGAATCCTTCAACCAACAAAGAGATAAAAAAAAATTCTCAGTGGTAATACATACCTTTCTAGAGGTTTAAGAACTACCTGACAAGGTAACTGCAGGTTTGCCAGTTCAACACTCATACCACCAGTTTAAAAACAGCCCACTTTGGAATGGAAACCTGCCAATCTGGGAGTTCTGTCTAATACACCAGTGGATGAATTGGCAATCCAATGTGTATACAGAAGGAGAACCAATGTGAAAGGAAAGTATGTGGAATATTGTTTTGGGGGCTTTGGGACTCTGATAAGACACTGTCCACAAACCACAGCAATCACCAGTCCAGGGATGTGGGGAAGTTGATTTCCAGGGGCTCCCCATTGTAAGGTAACTCCCCGTATTGAGGACATGTGGCATGGTAAAGTTCAGGAGGGAGGTTACACACTTATCCTAGCCAGACAGAATCATGCTTAGATCGGGATCTGTTGTGGATTTTGTGAAAGAACCCACTTTTTTATTTTTATGCTTAGGGTTCCCCCTAAAATTGATACGAGACCTGTTCCTAAATGTATCACATTCCTCTGCTGCCAGAAATTCGATTGAACACTAATTTAGTTTAGCCATTTGACAACCCTCCGAAAAAGATTTTCTATATTTTCTTTTTTCTTAATTCTTTATAAAACTGCACTAATGCTTCATATAACACAAGAAAGTAACTTATGTTTATCCTTTCAGGAGTGCTGGATTTTTTAATGGAAAACAACAGAGTACTTATAATACCCAAGGCCCAGGTCTCCACAAAAGGTAATGCAGAAGAGCTACAGATACTTCAACATACTACAGGTGCACCTAAATAGATGCGGTAATGCATTCTATAAACATATCCATTTGATATCAGTATATCAGTATTTGATATCAGTATTTGATATTTTATTACAGGGAAAGCTGCTGCATCACCTGAGATCATTCCAAGTACTGTTGGCTTAAATAAAACCAGGATCCAGGTAATTTGTTTCTTTAATGCATTGCATAGCTCATCAAAATTCAAAATGGATAAAAAATGGAGCAAACAGAAATATACCTATGTTTCAATGTTTTAATCACAGCATTATATAGTGAGTATCAAAGATATTCATTTCAAGGGCAATATTTGGACATCATGCATCTTAGTTACACCTTAAATATGATACTCTTTTTACTCCTCTCATGCGTTTTTATCTTTATAAAATATTTTATGTAAGTTTATATGTATGTCTGAAAGGAGTTAAGGGTGGTGCTGGGTGCAAAGGTTCAATGGGGAGTGGTTTTGAACCATTTTCTTGGTTACAAAATAGCAAGGGAAATCTCCTGTGCCTTTTAAATTTTTTGGAGGGACTGTTGATAGAATGGGTCCTTCATGGCTCTAGCTTAAGTCTTTATAGTTAACAGCTCCAAAAAAAAGCAGTTCAGGCATTCAAATATGAAAAACCCATTTCCAAAAGTCATGTGCAGAAAGTTTGGAATTTAAGTAATACCCCTTTTTAATTAACTTAACTTATTAAGCATTAAACCTTTTGGGATGACTGACATCCTTTCTTTAGAGTTTATACAATTCTATGGCTTTCAAACTCACATAGTTATACACAGAGATACAAAGAGGAGCAATGAAATATAACTTAAAACATTTTTCTTCACACACTTAAGTAGCTGTTGTAAAAGATTAGGCTAATCAACGTAAAGAAGTCCAGACACAGTCCTCACCTCAAATGAGGGTCTTTTATAAATATCCATGTACCCTTAATCAAAGATTTGAAATTAAACAGGCTTTATTACCATAGATCAGAAATGCAATTAAAATCATAGTGCCACATAAACTTCCTGACCACAATTAGACCACAATTTAGAATCTTGAGTTTTTATATGAATTTAAATCCTTTTTGCAGCCTCTCCTTCTGTGATGTGAAGGTCCTCATTAGTACCAACATCTTAAGATTGTTTATGCTGTGACTTTTGCTGCAGAAGCTGGCCACAAAACATATCTGTTTTGCTGTTGTTAACTGTGAATCTATGAAGGTTGTTAGGGAAAGGAATTTTGCACAAAATATCAGGTATACCATGCTCGAGGATCTGCAGCTAAAAGAGTCTTGCAATTTGTATTCCTGCTGTGATTCTGGGACTGGTGCCCTATTGATGCTCTGGAAATTTATGAAGGTTTCACACCTCTTCTGCAGGCACAGAAATGTCCCATTTAGTACTGTGTAGGATTGAGTGAACCAAGCAAAGTTTAGTTTGCAGGAGCGCAATGTAGCAACTTCCTCAACCCTGCACTCTGTACACAGTGCACCCCTGAACTGTGCACACTGTACACAATGCACCCTGAACTCTGCACTCTGTACACAGAGCACCCCTGAACTCTGCACTCCATACGCCATGAAGTCCTGAACTCTGCACCCTGTACACTGTGTACTTCTGAACTCTGCACTTTGTATGCACATCACTCCTGAACTCTGCACTCTTTATGTAATGCACTACTGAACCCTGCACTCTGTATGCAGTTCACCCCTAAGCCCTGCATTCTGGACACAGCGTATCTCCGAACTCTGCACTCTGCACATAGTGCTTTCCTGAACTCTGCACTCTGTACATAGTGTACTCCTGAACTCTACAGTCTGTACACCACATACTCCTGGACTCTGCACTCAGTATGTATTAGAATCCTGACTCTGTACATAGTGTACTCCTGAACTCTGCAGTCTGTATGCCATTTACTCCTGAACTCTGCACTATGTACGTAGCACACCCCTGAACTCTGCATATACAACTTGCACTTTTAACCACCTCCCACCCACCATATAGTACAATGACGGGTGCAAGGTGATTCTCTCACCTTGGTTCTTGGAGGACATCATATGACGTCCTCCCATTCTCACCGTGCATGCACAGCTCCGGGAGCGCACAGCGCTGCGATCGGCGGTGCGCTGTGTCCCTCGGACACAGCGAATCACCGATCCACGGAAAGAGCCGAAGATGTCGGTTCGGTCATGTGATCAGCTGTGTCCAATCACAGCTGATCACATGTAAACAGGGAAATGCCGGTTATCGGCATTCCTCGGAGGGGACATCTATACTGATCATCAGAGCACTGATGATCAGTGTGCCCTGATGATCAGTGTAGCCCCAGCAGTGCCACCTGTCAGTATTTATCAGTGCCAGTTGTCAGTGCTCATCCATGCCACCTGCCAGTGCCCATCAGTGCCACATCAGTGCCACATTTCAGTGCCTACCAGTGCACATCAATGCCACATATCAGTGCCCATCTGAGCTGCCTTTCAGTGGCTCTCATCAGTGACAGTCAGTGCCACCTATCAATGCCAGTCAGTGCCACCTATCAGTGCTGCCAATCAGTGCCACTTATCAGTGCCAGTCAGTGCCGCCTATCATTGCCAGTCAACGCTGCCTATCAGTGTGCATCAGTGCCGCCTATCAGTGCTCGTCAGTGCTGCCTAATAGTGTTGCCTAACAGTGCCAGTCAATGCTACCTAACAGTGCCAGTCAGTGCCGCCTATCAGAGCCAGTCAGTGCCACCCATCAGTGCTACCTATCAGTGCAATATATGAGTGCTGCCTTTCAGTGCCCATCAGTGATTCCTGTCAATACCCATCAGTGCCACCTACCAGTGCCTCCTCATCAGTGCCCATCAGTGCCACCTATCAGTGTCCATTAGTGCAGCCTATCAGTGCTCATCACTGCAGCCTCATTAGCGCACATCAATGAAGGAGAAAAATCACTTATTTACAACATTTTATAACAAAAACTAAGAAAAAACTTTTTTTTTTCAACATTTTCAGTGGTTTTTGGTTTAAGAAAAAATAAAAAACCCAGAGGTGATTAAATAACACCAAAATAAAGCTCTATTTCTATTTCAAATTTCATGTGGGTACAGTGTTGCATGACCGCGCAATTGTCATTCACAGTGTGACAGCGCTGAAAGCTGGAAATTGGCCTGGGCAGGAAGGGGGTATAAGTGCCCTGTAGGCTAGTGGTTAAGGGCACCCATAATGCTGATATGGTCTGTGATTAAATTGAGCTTGACACCCCTGCTCTACGGTGTCTTCTTCCAGACAATAAACAATGTTTGATAATTTTATGCAATCTACAAGCCAAAAATTATTTTAAATATGCAAAATGTGCAAAAACAACTCTGGTAGTAAAAAGGAAAAAGCTTTTTTCATTTTGGATGGAACAAGGGAGGTTAAAACCCCTGTCAGTTTTTTTTCCCTCTCTGGGTTCCATTGGAAAGATTTCCCTTAATGTCCTGTAACAGGAAAAGAGATAATCCTCCTAAAGTAAAGGAAAACACTAGCTGTAACCAAGGGACTAGTGTCTGTATTGTTAAATTTTCCTTCTATTCCTGCTCTGGTGACAACCCAAAATTTGGGATTTTGTTTCACATACCACATTAAGTATCAACTTAAATAAAAAGTCCAAATCCACCAACTTGCAAGACAACACAGATGCAGAAACCCTGTCCTAAAAGTTGCGCCCTATAAAGTACAATACTAAGAACCGATCATCATGTTCGGAAACCACACCACCCAACCTAAGGATCAAACCAAACCAATCCTCCCATATTTTAGCATAAACAGATCATGTTGCCTTGTTCAACAACCTTTGAATTAACTCATCCATCACTCCAACGCAACCCTCCACAATCAGTCCAGACAAGGAACTTCCAGTTGTGCCACTACTGGAGTCAATGAGCAAAATTTGTCACATTGAAAATGAGAAAAAGAATCTGCCAAGGAGTTAGTACAACCAGGAACATGAAATGCATACAAATGAATTCAAATACGGACAAGACAAAACTAAATGCCGCAGCAAGTGCACCACTGGAGGCGAAGATGCAAACACACTGTTTATAGCTGTCACCACTCCCAGGTTATCACATTTAATGTGAATCTTCCCTATACACCATATAATCCTGGGTAAGGAGACTCTGATGGTCTGGCGCCCAAACCCCCGCCGTGACGGCCGCCAACTGGTTTTTTGAAAATCCTGCCCATAGGCATAACCATGCAGGTGAAATTAAGTTTACCAAGGAGCGAATAAAACTGATTCAATGTCAACTTGCCACCTGTTTATGCAAAGACCACTGCCCACTTCAAATCTGTTAATTTATTGACCAGGAGCCGACACTCAGTGTCAGTGAAGATACAAAGGAAACTGAGCACCATATAGGAACCTACCATTTTTTCCTAGGCCAACAGAATGCCAAAGTGATCAGCCGCATGCTGAATGGTAGTCAACAGCACCCTACAGCGTTTGGAGCTGGAGGGGCCAATGCATAAAAGGTCATCCAAGTAGTGAATGACCAATGGAATTCCTGACACATCCCTAACCACCCAATTCAACAAAAGAACTAAAGCTTTTGAACAGAAAGCAAGAGACGAAGCACCCCATGGTAAAACAATGGTTGACAAAATAACCACCCTGCCACTGGCAGCATCCAGAAAGTAGATTCAATGTCTATTTTTGCCAGCAGAGCTCCCCAGCCATAGAAATGAACCCAATGCAATGCTGCATCAAAAGAGGTGTATGAAACCAAACACAAGTCTGAACTGATGTGTTCATTCACTGAACTCCCTTTTTCATTTGGTAAATGGTGAATCAATCAAAACTTGTTGGGTTTCTTCTTGGGGATGACACCCAGAGGACCAGACATATGACCCATCCCCACTTCCTTGGCCAGCTTTTTGAAACCAGATCAGGGTCAGCCAATGCTGATCTCAAATTACCTGTGGTTGAAGGAGGGGCCAGAAGACTGCAAGGAATCAAAAACCCCTCCGAAAAACCTTTTTCCAATAGTGCCGCCTCACAACGGTCTGGATACCTACTTAGAAAAGGCCGCATCCTTGCTACTCTCTCCGGAGTTCTCACTTCTTTCAGTAGCATCTTTCCTTTGGAAAGGTAACAGAGAAAAGAGTGGGAGCCCCCGCAACCAGAGCACTCATGTTTGAATCTGCAGAACGTTCCAGATTTACAGGTTCTGGTACCCCTTTTTCTTGTTGGCCCATTGTCCAGAGATATTGGATCCACCAGCCCCCCCTGGAAAAAACTGATTACCTCTCTGCACCAAAGTCATGAGCTTCATCCATAGACTTATGTCGTTGTGGTCTCAACTCAAAGATGGCCGCACCGCTTTGTGTTGGCAGAATTGTTTATTGTAACACAACCAGGCAAGTCCCCAATAGACTTGATGGGCTTCCCAGATAGCATCCAAATAACAGAACAAGTCAGAAAAATTCTCTGGTGCCTTCTCACCGATCACACTGGCCAGAATTGCAAACGCCCACAACCAGTTGTTAAATGTGCACGGAATCAGCCAATACCACCTCTTCTCCTTCTTACTTTCGTCCGACTTACCTCTATCCAGTTTAAAGTTCTCCAGAGGAAGCAGAGAAAATATTTCCATGTAGTCCTCCTTCCATATTTTCTCCTTGACGTCCAGCTTGAGATGTGCACCTAGCAGCCCCTCAAAACAGAAATAAACCTTGCATTTCGCCAAATTGGCCAATCTGATTCTATCCGCTTCCTTGTCAGACTTACCTTTAGCATCCAATGTGACACTACCTTCCCTGCAGACTGCGTCTGAACAACGGTATCCGAAGCGGAAACAGCTGCCTCTGCCACAGCTGCTATGAGCGGCTGAGACCGGAACAGGATGTCCAACGCCATGAGTACAATCATCCCAACCACAGCCCCCTATGCAGCCGCCATGCCCTGCGATACCCAAGTAGCCATGATCAAGCCCCTACCTGCAAAGAACTCCAGGCACTCCAGAACAGCCTGTAAGCCCACACAGCAACAAAGCTAACCCTGAGTCTGCCGCAGGAGCCCCAGAAGCCACCACACCCGAATCATCATCCGCCGTGACAGCAGACCCCTGTCCAGCAAAGAACTCGCCAGTACCAGGTCCAACTGCCACCAGCACAGAAAAAGCAGAAGAGGAAAACAGACATGGGACACTCACCAGGCTGTTGCCATCACCTTCACCACTGAATGAAGCTCGCCTGTCCCTCAAACAGGTCAGGAAGAGCCTCCTAGCTGCCTGCGTCCTGCAGGCCTAGCCTGCCATTACCGAAGCTCCAAGTCCTGCTGCATGGCCACTGCCACCGATATCCTCCGCCAACTTGCCATGGTGCCCAAGCCTGTCACATTCTCTTCCACACTGAGCCCTCTCCCCACCAGATAGGAGACCAGAATCTACGCACCACACTCACTTCACCGCCTTCTTGGCTGCAGATGACTCCCACACTCCTCTCGGGGACCTCACCAGTTCCGCGGACACTTCAGGCAACTGGCTGGCACTCGCAACACCTGCTCTCCCTTATTGAGCTGCCTGTGGAGCAGTAGAAATGCCAGGGGGCATCGCTAGCTGCTCTGTGCCAACTGGACAAGAGGGAGGGGAATAGGCCAGAAGACCACAAGTAACCCCATCCCTCAGCTCATGCCTAAAGTGAAGATTCCTCCTGGGCTTTGCTGCAGCCTTGTCAGCTCTGCATTTTTGAGCAGGTCTTTGAGGGTCCCTCAAGGGACTCCTAGAGGGGCTTCTGATGCAGCACTGGACCCACAAAGTCATATCAGGGCTCAAGCACTCTGGAGGCCATGACCTCAAAGCACACGTAGGCGCAGGAGGTGAAGGGACAGAACCCCCCTCCCTGTTTCCCAACAATAAATTAATAAAAAATGTGTCCCAAAAATCAGACTGGTGAGTCCAAACCAGACAGAATCCAAGTGGTAAACCAACACCTAAAGGATAATCTCCACCACTGAAGGCATACCAGAATGCCATGACTCTCTTACTACAAGGAGTCTGCATATAGTATCCATGGTTCTATAACCATTGATGAATCTTCTATACATTTGCCAAGATATGATGACTGGCCCAGAATGATAATATCATCACAACTCCTCCATCAGTATCTATATGTTTCAATTCATTCAGAGGAAAATAGAAAACAGAATACATAGTGTAAAATCGCACTTGAAAGACTTATTACATAGTTACATAGTTAGTCTGACTGAAAAAAGACAAAAGTCCATCCAGTTCAACCATTAAAAAAAAAAGTTATCCTATACCCAAGTTGATCCAGAGGAAGGCAAAAAAAACCAGCTAAGCATGATCCAATTTGCTCCTGCAGGGAAAGAAATTCCTTCCTGATCTCCCAAGATTGGATATTCCCTGGATCAACTTTACGTATAAATGTTAGTATCCAGTTATATTCTGTGTATCTAAGAAAGAATCCAGGCCTTTTTTTAAAGCAATCCACTAAGCTGGCCAGAACCAACTCTTGAGGGAGTCTATTTTACATTTTCACAGCTCTCACTGTGAAG